GGATCGACATGTTCAGCAACAATTTAAACGTGGTCAGTTGGTACCAAAGTGGGCCAAGAAAACATTCCCCACACCATTACACCATTATATGTTTATATAACCTTATATATAAAACACTGTATAAACTAAGCTTTTAAATTAAAAAAAATATATATATAAATTGTTATTCTCCTGGGCTGGAGCTTCGATGTGTTCATCAAACAAACAATAATGGAAGAAACTTTAATGTAGTTTTTTGTTTTTCTGCTTCTCTGAGAAATCTGCACATTCCATCATCCAGACAACAATACGCTTGATTGTTCATTTAAAAAAAGAAAAATCTATACTGTATGTATAATTGAGGATGGTTTTGTTATGCCTTTTGTTCCACCGAAGGTTTACCCAGAAAGCTTTGGAGCAGCCAACAAAAGCTGCCCCACATACATGGGAAGACATGTAACTATAAATTGTGCTGAAAATCAATGGCATGCGTGAGAAATGGGATTCCCTCAAGAATAAACAATGCTGTGAAAAAAGAAAAAAAGAAAAAAGAGGTGACTGAGAAAAAATGTTTTCTCAGCAAAACACAACCTTTAAAGACAATTATATTTGAAAGTTGTGAAAATAATGAAAAGAGAAGATGATAGATTAAATCTGTGCTGCCCGATAAACGTGGGAATTATTCTCTTGTATCAAATGTGTGATTAGGAAACTGTGTCTCTCACATAACAAAGATCCACTGACCTGTTAAATGAGGGCAGAGCGGTGAGGGGGCTTGAAGAGGGGATGAGTATGTGAGTATTAAGTAGGCAACTATGTTTAAGAATTCACTGCAGAGAACAATGTAAGTGGGGAATAGATTCGATGAGAGCTGGAGTCCTACTGAAACAGCCTGTTTTTGTAGGAAGGAGCTTTGCTGTTATTTAGAAAACAACTTTGAGGTTGGTTGTTAAAAATGCCCGAAGAGGACGAACAAGATAAGTTAGGGAAAGTCATCAGACAGTGGAACAATAACAGACTGGACCTGTTTGAAATTAGCCAACCCGATGAGGTGAGGAACACAAAATATCTGTGTTTGTGAAGGTTTCTGTATTTTCTGTCAGTTCCACAGTTTTAGATGTAGTTTCAAAGATAAAAAGGTTTTTCTACTTTTAATTATTGGTGCTATTTGATATTATAAGACACAGAAATGTTACTTTAAAAGCTCATAAAAATGACTAATGAACAATTCAGTTAGCCGATCAATAGAAGTATTTAGATAATATAAAATTTATTTATATCAAATTCTGGCGTTTACTCTTAAATTTAAAGCTTCTTAAATTTCTGGATTTACTGGTTATTATTACAGAAGAATCAACTGCGTACTTTTGGCCTTTACATTTCTGGTCTGACATTTCTAGCATATTCTTGTTGCTGTTTCACTTTTTATGTTCCAAAACAGGAAAATTATCTGTTGTAAAATAACTGAAATATTCGTGGTTAATAGGGAAAATGTTTAGTTATGTGTGTGCTATATTATATTCCCCCACCAGCCACAGTTTTCAAACCAGTGAAATATGAAGTTATTTAGTTAGTATGTAGTTATTCTTTTTACTGAGGTGGCCAGGCTGAGACTTTTCCTTGCACTGGAGGGTTACAGAAATTTTAATTGGAAGTGCTCTTAACTGATTTTTTAGTTTTATCATCTGTTGAATCTCTAAAGATAAATACAAATGTAATGAATAGTAGAGGTTCTGCAAAAAAAGGTTCTCACTGATAAATTACTGGTTGAGCCAGTGAACATGTGTGCAACATCCCACTGAGCTTCACTATGTCTGAGTGGTGACCAGACTTTAGCAGCCAGTGGCTCTGTGAAGATGGACTTTGATAAGACAATCTGTGATGGCAAGAGAATTGCATCTCCAAAACAATGGGTCTTGTGATGCAGTGCTTAGTGCCTACCAACTGGGTAAAGGAATAAGAGATGGGTGAACAGATCCAAAGCTCTGCAAAAGTAGGCTGATGTTGTTTAATCCTGCAAAAGAGCTACTGTAGCCAAAATTGCAGAACACACAGAAAGTCTGTGTTTGAAAATAGCCCCAACATTTAAATACAGAAGCTTCCGAGGGCCTGTTTAGCTCACTGGGTTGAGTCTCTGCTTTTAATCATATTGTATTAAGTTACTGTAGAAGCCTGCGTCTGAATCTGCCCTGGGGCCATTTATTGCATGTCTTCTCCTTGCTCTTGCTCCCAAATTTCCTGTCTTCTCTCCACTGTCCTATCAATTAAAGGCTAAACCCCAAAAGTATATAAAAAAATACAGAAGCCTCTATTCACTTTCATTATCACTTTGTTCGAGGTCACAGAGGGGCATGGCTGGAGCATATCCCAGCTGTCACCGGGCAGGTGCAGGTGGGGTACACCGTAGAAAGGTTGTACCCCAGGGAAGCTGGAGTGTCCAGCCTACACAGGCACAAAAAGAACATGCAAACTCCACAAAGAAAAGCCTCAGGCTGTTAGTAACAGTAATTTCATAATTTCAGTAAAATGATAATTTTCTTTTTTCCCCAAATAAATGTCACATATTTGTTTGTTATGAGGTTAGAAAACAACCTAAGACACCACTTAGGGAAATTATAATGTCTATTTTTATCTGATTAAGTTTAACTGGTGATGGAAATTATAGTTGGCTGGAGTCACAGGATACGTGGGTCTTCTTCCATCTTAACAACATGTATTTATATACAATTGCTTGAAATGATGATCTTGGAATCTGCAGTTGTTTTTAAAAAGGCTCTAACAGACCTTTACAGGGTGTGTATATCTACTTTTCCATCGTTCTGAGTATTGGTCAATCCACTGAGTGCTGTCAAACAAATCTTTTTTATGCTTTTCGAAGAAAAACTACCAGTTGTACCTGATCATGATTACTAATGAGAAGTTAACAGGCCTTGGCCTTGCCAACTTTAAAGACATTGTGGAAACTCCAGCATCACTTATTAAAATATTTATGTGAGTGTATAAAGAAAATCCAAAATAAATTCAAACTTTGCACCCAATTCTTGTTTTTTAAAGTCATTAAAGATGTATACTGTACAATTATTCCACCCTGAAAAAACAACAGCTCAGCAAAATCATTAAAAGCCTAAAATTACCATAAAATTAATTGTACATAAACTTCAGAGCACAACTGTATAGACGACAGCAGAAACTGTAAATCTTGCTCTGCTCATTTAACTTACATTTAGCGTAAGCTGCACTGCCTGTTTCTCTCTGTGGGGCTATAACCAGCTGTTATTTGATCAAAATTCAAATGTTCTCTTAACTCCAAGCTCCAAATCTTAGAAAACAGACTTTTTCTCAGTTGGAATCCTGTTTTTAGCTTCAGATTTAACGGGTCATTTGTTTTGTTTTAGACACGAGGAGCAGCAGGAACGGTTCTCAGGGACATTCTGAAAGCTTTTTAAATTCCTAAACAGCTCTTTATAAAGACTAAATTGGTCCATTCCTT